CGAGGATGGCTCGCGAGATGTCCTCCAGCCAGCGGTCTCGCTGCCACTCTGAGGGTGCGGCTACCAGGAAGCACCGGTTGCCCGAGTAGATTGTGAAGCTGAGCGGTGTCTCCGCCTCTTCCACCATTAGGTCGCGCAAGTGAAACTGACCATGCACCTACAGTGACCGGCGGCAAAGCAAAAACTCGAACATTAATTTCTCAGGAGGGAAGAAATATTAACGGAACATAACATTTTACTTGCTATATGTTAGTAGTAATTGTTATTGACATTTCAAATAGTCTAAATACCGCCCAATCTTACAGACAATATGAAAAGTTTGATAGGCCTAATGATAATCAATGCTGGCCGAAGTTGCGGCCCGAAGGGAGGATCTTGGGTTTATGTTGTCAGTCAGCTGCACACTCAGACACAATCACTTATGACGATTCAAGGACGCATTCAAGGAGTAGACAGCGTGAGTGCATGATGGTAAAGAGCTGGCTTGACTCCAGGACGGGACATAACGCACTGGTCAGTTTGAGGAGTAATGCAGTACTTAGTACAGGTTCAGTGTTAGGTTTTTCAAATTTGAAAAAGTCAGAATTCCGGGATATGAAAAAGAATTCATTTTCTGCTCACCGGAATAAATTTGTGGATTTGTTGACGTTTCGGACAGCACAGCCGCAAGTCTAAACTCGCTGACTGATAAAGGCAGAATTCGCTTCGACAAAGGACAGCCGCCCAACTGTCCGAAACGTCAGCAAATCTACAAATTTATTCCGGTGAACAGGGGATGAATTCTTAGTGATAGGTTTCGGCTGGATGTTTCAACTTTATTTCGATTAGCGTCGGTGGCGACTGTTAAGAACCTAGGAGAGGAATTCTAGACCTGGTACGGCTAATTTGCCGTCCATGTGCACAGTATGGTGCTGTCCGGACACACTCACACAGGGTGGTATGACCTAGCCCCCATTGTGTTCAAACGGGCTTTTGAAATTCGGCCGCCATCTGTTTCTGCTCACCGCTTGCATGTACATTTTGTATGTATGAGTCGGTTGGCCTAGTTTGCCCATTATAAACCGACTTCTATCGCTGTATGTCTATTCGAACTAAAACAATAAGGTCATCAGCACACGACGCTAGCACCACTTTGAAGGAAGTCTAATTTTGCCAAAATTTTGCAACGCAGCCAAGGACGATTCTTAGTGATGTTGGCAATTACAGTCTTCAGTCATTATGCATGATTTGTGATCTCCCGGTTTTATGTGGCTTGTGTGCCCACTTTTATTTACGGTGAAGGGAGGACATTTTTGCTGAACATTTTGGAGTTACAGTTTCAGGATAAGCGCATCTCCCCCTCATAAAGGCACCCTAAAGAGGCATTTACAAAGAAACGGTGTTTGTCCAGATCGAGGAACCAAAAGGCGCGCCACCAAAGAGAGAGATAGCGCGGTAGCCAGACGTGCGCAATTCAAAGTTGACAGGTAACATTACTGACAGGCAAAGTTATAACATCATGAAAGGAAATTTTAGGAAATAGAGTCTCAGGTTAGCGATTCAAACGAAGGACGTAAAGATAATCGTGGAGCAGGAGAACACGCAATGCCCAGTTAAGGATATTTTCGTGAGACGGGGAAGAGCAACGCAAGCCCCCCCCAACCCCCCTATTTCAAATTACGCAACGCAAGGTTTCTCTTGTGGTAGGGTCGTGCCCTTATCGAGCGCGCTTGCACATCAAACAACCGGTAACATCTTTTCGGCGAAAGTCCTCTGGATACACTGTGAGGGGCGCAGCAACGCACTAACGACAGGATCACACCAGCCATTAGTCACCAGTACCAACACCGGCTCGACCCGTCC